ACAGCACTCCGCATCGGGCCAAGCCCATGCTGCTCCCACCCAGGGCACCCCATGCCGTGATTCTGCCTGCGCTCATCGGCCCTGGCCCCAGCCCCAGCTTTCCGGTGGGGCTGCTCCGATGAGGCTGCAGCTGCCCACCTACTGTTCAGCTCCCCTCACCTCCAGCGGCTGCTCCTCCTCCTCCTCCTGCTGCAGCTGAGCAGCTCCTGCCCCAGCACACGAAGCTCCAGCTCCTGGCCACCTCCCACCCACTCTGCCCACCCAGCACAATGAGCAGTCACTGGGACCGGGGCCGGTGCGTACAGGCACAAGCATGGTGCAGGCTGCCCAGGTGGGAGGGAGCAGGGCTCGACCCCACGCGGAGTGCTGCAGGAGCAGCTGCTGGCTGGATACAATCAGTTGGTGGGCTGAATATGGCCCACGGGCCATATTTTGCCCACCCTTGCCCCAGAGACATTTATTTTGCTAATGCAAGAATATAGTTCCTCTCTCGACCCCAACAGGTTCTCCAAGTTAGAATATGACACTGCAGAACACAAGGGAGAAAAGAGAGAGAGATGATGTTACGGCACAAATATTAATGTCTCAGTATTTACAGTGCAGAGCTGAGAGGATCCAGCACTTCTCTTCCTCACTTGGAACATTTGAAATAAAAAGAAAACCCACAAGGCAACCCACACATATTTCTATTTCTGGAAAAACATTAAGGGGCTTGATAAGAAACTTGGAACTCTGAGTAGATATTGCACTTGGCTGCACATTTCTATTTGTTTTGAGTTAGTCCTTAAAGAGGTCAATCTGATGGAGCACCGATTTCAGAATTGAATTTACAGTTAAAGAGTGTTTCTCCTTCCCGAGCATATATAAATTACAAATCAAGTGATCATGTTGATAGCTGCCACACAGAGTCAAGAAAGTTTCTTACAGCATTTGAAAAAATTCTGACATATGCCAGTCTCTGGTAGAACTGCCATATGGAGTTTACCACCGTAACATAAGCTTTGGCCTGTTAATGGTGGTTATGCTGCCAGCACTGATAGACAGAACCTAATCTATGTAGATTCTTTTCAACTATGGCAAAGGAAAGAAAAAGACAATTTCAAGCAGAAAAAAAGTATCAAATGTAGCTGAATCTAGAATAAAAAGTAGCAAAGTAGAGTAAAAATTATATCGACAAACATGTGATGTACACTGAAGCACGTAAGATAAAATAGGAAATCAGACTCCAGGCAATGCCATGGCATGGAAAAAGAAAGTTTTTCAACAGCGTTGGCATATAGAAGAGTCATGGCCTTGCTGACAACAACCTAGATACGGCAAGGCAAATGTTTAATGTAGACACCTAAACTGGTTTGAAGCTCTCATCAGTTGGTCACAATTAAACCGGAGCAATTAAGCAGAAGTTAATCTGGTTTTAAGTGCATCTGCTTTCAAGCTTTGCACTGTGTTACCTGGAATATTTTAAAATGCATTTAGTTACAATGACTCAGCTTTCCTCTAGCACGGGATCATCTTCAAGAGGTAATGGCGGGCTATAAAAAGGTACAGTCTCCACCAGCTCTTTACCTCCAGATCTCCAGTAAATGAAATGAGCATTAAGGGCTAGACTATCAAAGGTATTTTGAGTTCCCATGATGGATGTTAATGTGTGAATTTACCACCTGTTGGTACGATGGTGTGCATGCTCTTATAACAGGACAAATGACAAACAGCTTACTCCTCAATGAAAGTATGGCAAGCCACCTTGCATTTACTGTGGGATAATTTATATGCATAACCCCAGCCACAGGTATATAACATGCTTACAGGTGTCTGCTATACCCAGATGCAAACTGCCAAGCACTTTTGAATATCCCGCTATGGGCTACGTTGACTAGGAGCATTTAGGAGTTGCAACACCTAACTCAAGTGCATGCCCACCTCGTGGAACCTTCCACCTCAAATTCGTTCCCTAGAGCCCCTGGCAGACATTCATTTAAATATGCCACTGGATCTCATCCCCAATCCCAAAATCAAAGCTCCTGCCATGCATTTGTGGCATAGCAGGAGGCACAACTGTTGGGATTGGGGATCAGACCCCAAATCATGACTTACTCACCAGTGCAGGAGAAGCCTAGAAATATGCTCCCCCCTGCACTGGCAAGTTGAAAGATGGGTGCCCACAGATCTAGGGCCAGGCCCAATCAGGGTTTGGAACAGCTGACTGTCAGGGACTGCACTGGGGCCAGTTTCAAACCCCAGTGCAGTCCCTAACCCAGCCACCTGTTCCATTTAAGGTGCCATAAAAACCAGCCATAAAATTGTTTTACATTACATGTAGAACAATTTTGTGGCTGGTCTGCCATTTATGGTATTTTCATTGGGTGCACAGGTACCCCCCTTGCTATTTATGCCATGATTAACACGTTAATCATGGCATAAATGTAACAGGTGGAGGGGACCAAGGTTTCCTATAAGGCATGGGAGAGAGAGGTGCCAAAGAATGGGTTTCAAAGAAGTGGGCATGCTTAGTGGAGACTATCTAATAATAAATGCCAAGGACACTGGCTGGATAAGAATAGAACAGTTTCAATAGAAAACAGTGAGTGCACACCACACCACAATACTCCTGGAAAAGTCTTGACCATTACGCTACTGAATATAAGCTAGGGGGAGGACGTGGGTGTCCTGTGTGGAACTGCATGTGCTTTGAAAGCATCCCCTGGTTCTCACCCTGCAGACAAGACAGGCGGACAAATGCCTGTGAAGGAGTTTGTGAGATGGAGGTGAAAAACTGCTCAGCGCTGTCACGGTCTTTACTGGTAGAGCTTTAAGACAGCAAGGCAATACAGGCATGTCTGGGCTAGATGGTGGTCTTGAGAATCTAAATGTTGGCACCTGCCATTCACTTTGTAGACAAAGGTCAACCTTGTAAATCTAGCTCCAGAAACTTTTCTGCAGGTTTAGGCTCCTGAATACCTTTGAAGACCTGGCCCTAAAGGCCTAGTCCAAAGCCCACTGCAGTCAACTGAAAGACTCCTATTGACTACAATGGGTTTTGGGTCACACGTGGTTGCTACAACTGCTTTGTCTTGAATTCTCTCCTGCAGAATTAAATTTTCTCAGCTTAAAATTAAGGGAATATCAATCAGTTCACATCATTGACACAACATCTACAAATAGCTTAATGGATCAGAAAGGAAAAAGAAAAAATTGTCAGCATGAAATACATTAGAGGGGCTGTCAGTTGGGTATGCCCATTATCGACTTTCCTAAAGTAACAGAAAGTCTATTGGAGAGTGAATTGATTTCTGCATTTCCTATGCTTGTCCAATTTTCCCATTTAAAAATATTCTATAAAACCTCAGCACTTGATTTTCTCAAAACCTGGATTCCCAGAGCTAGAGCTGTACTTGGTGGAGTAGCTATATTTGGGCAATCCAGCTACATTTGCTTGATTCCCCAAAACCTACAATTGTGAATGGAAACATAAAACCAGGCTTTGGTGTGACAAGAAACACCAGTGGAGGACCAGACTACCAGGTATTCATCAAGTATGGAGATAGAGACAGTTATTCATATCCACTTAATGTCACTTGTGCTTTTGCATACTGATATTCTCTCTCTCACACACAAGCAAACCCATTCTCTCTCTTTACATGAGCAAACCCATTGACAATAATGGTATCACACGCCTAATTAACGCCACTAAGGTGAGTGAACATTTGAAACCTTAGTCCTTAAGCTGGTGATATAAACACAAAAAGCATCTTTTATGATGAGCACTAATATATGGACTATGGTATTGCCTCAGTGCCAGGCAAAGCCCATGGTGCTAGACACAAAAATGGAAGAGAGAATGCCTATTCTGAAGGGACCTCTATAGGCATCTGTACACCCTTGCTCTCAGATTCGCAGCATACTCTCAATCTCCCTAGCCTCCCACTTCAGTTCCCAAGTAACCAATGTGTTGTAAGAAAAACCTAATTAAGGTTGTTCATTAGCCTGCTATACCCCTTTGTCAGCATCTCTCAGACCTGTCTCCATCATTTATTTCATGCTGACCCTAATTCTCAGGGTCCTGCCCTGAATTAGCCCTTGCACCCTCTGCTCTTTCGGCTCTTTCATCTTCACCCACCTGTGCCGTATGTGCAAGAATTTAGTCAAAAAATCATCTGATTAGATGCAAGTCAGAAACAGTCGATTTTACCTCTTCAATCTAACATGATTTGGAACCATCAGTCTGACTGCACCATCACGATTTTATTGCTTTTGCTTTCCTCCTCCTCCTCTTCTTTTTTTGGACACAACTGCTCGTCACATCTTGCACCAAATCAGACTGCAAGGGTTTGGAGAACAGAGAATGCCTCTACTAACATGTTCTCCAAGTATTTTGTGCAGTGGGGCCATCATCTTCAGTGTGGGGGGGGGGGGGGGGGGTTTTTTAGCCATGACAACAATATTAATGTGAAAGATTAATATTCACATTTCACATTAAAACACCATGGAGATTTATATATATACATATGCATATATATAAAGGAGATGTGAATAGTTGCGACTGCATAACAAAGCGTGATGGACTAAGAGTTATATTATTACTCATATATTTACATGACGGGGTAAGAGAAATGGGATATTATAGTTCTCACAGAAAACCTCATCCAATACAGTTACACCCAGAAAAAGTTAGAATATTAAAATATTTACAGCACATTCTGTTTCTTTTATTTAAATGTTACAGAATTGAACATGGGGGGAGGGAGGTGGGTAAATCAAAACACAAGAAACCCTTCCTACCAAACTGCTTTGATCAATGAAGTTCTCTGGGACAACGGCGGAGAGAAGTGTTTCTGCTGGTTTAATGTTTGCAACATCAAGCTTTGGGGTGGTCTCTTCCAAAAGGGAGCCCTTCCAAATCCTTCTTGGAAATTTTGGCTGTTTTTGTTCCCTGTGCCAGAATTCACCTTAACATTTTTTTTTTTTTCAATGAAGAGACAAGCAGCTTTCATGTTTCTTACCTTGGAACCTGCCAATAGACCTCCGAGCAGTTTTGTTCCTTTTCCAATACCAACCACTGCAAAGAAAGGAAGAGGAACATTGCAACAATCCATTACAAAAACTGGATTCACAATCTCTGCATGTACCATCATTCACTGCCATACATCACGTTAGTCAGAAATATCACATTTCCTGCACTGCTGGCGTATAAATGGGCTCAATTATCCTTGATGAGTTGAATGAGTCTTGCAAGGGAAGGATCCCGAAAGATAAAGATATTGCCTAAGAGAAAACACCTCTGATGTTCAATTTACTAGGGGCTGAGGAAAAAGAGAGGGCATGAAGTGGAAGACAGATAAGCTTTGCCTATTGTTAATGTGCTTTAATTCTATCCTGGGTTTTCTTTCTTTCGTGCGGTTTTTGCAGTCACGGTGAAGAAATGCGCAGTGCAATTAACCATGTCCCTCAGTCTGGTTTGATAAAGTCTTTGGCAAGGTTCATTTTAGCGAGCCAAAGGCATAACTGTAACTGATGGGCCATTTAAAGGTTATTAGTGGCCAATAGTAACACAACCAAGGCAGCAGCAAATCCCATAAATGAAATTAGTTTAGCTGTGATAGGACCATGGCAAGAAAGTAAAATAATCAGGAGGTCCCTGGGTCTCTTGTGAGGATCATTTATTATCAAACACAGGCTGACGTGTGTGTATGGACCACTGACTTTTTCAATTTTAAATCACATTTTTACATGTAGCCATTAACAATCAATCAGATCTCCATCAATGAAGTAAATGGATGGGAAAAAAAACCTCTTTATGGTATTATAATTTAAATTAAAGCTTCCTACAGTAATATGCTTCTCTTTAATAATTTTGTCTGCTGGTTTCCTGCAAATACAGCAGGTTGAAGCAGTGGGTAAAATAAGAAGGCAAAAAGCATTGGAAATCAGGCATATTGTTAATGCATTGTAAGTGCTCATCACCATGCGAGTGGGACAAAATTCTCCAATATTTTCTTGTTTAAGAGATACCAATACAAAAATGATTATTAATATATAACTTCTCATACTTCTTTCCACAAAATATTCCAGAAACAACAGACATTCGGGTTGTTTCATAAGAGCTACATGCTCTGATATAAAAGTGTACCTCTGTATCCCTTCCCTTGATAAAGGGAAAAATCTTCCACTTTAAATCCATAAAGAGAATTTGAATTATGTTCTTATAAATGGAAGCTTATCTATAGTATAGTTGTACATGTGACAGAAATATTGGTTGCACCTGTTACCTCTTGAAAGTCATAATCATTTTAATGCCTGGAGATGTTTATCTGCAAATGTAATAACTGCCTGATACCACCGTTATGTGAAGAATGAGATGTTACATGCAAATATATTGGTTCAAATGACTGTGTTATAACTGATCACTAATTTCCCAATTAAGGAATAGAAATTGGTTTCTCATGTTAGTGATTTAGAAATGCTGATGGAACGCCTTAACCGAGTCAGGATGACAAAAACAACCTAAGGACTGGCCAAACTTAAATGTCATCAAATATAATCTACAAATCATTTAAATCAATTTAAAAAAAAAAACCCTATTTCAAAATCTGGAAACATGATTTTATATAAAAATGAAGATTCACCAGAAATACTATATTTACCTGAATATAAGACGATCCTGATTATAAAATAACCGCCGCCCCCCTTATTCGATTCTATATACAGAAAAGGTATACATTTTGCATAGTTTTCCAGGTATGGAATCTAATTATTGGAGGTTTGCCTTGATTTTTTCCCCTTCCCACTGCTACAGAACGGAAAATAAACCTGGGGCATAAGGTAGCCCCTTTGCCCTATGCCCCCACAACTTGTTCTTCTCATAAGTCCTGGGATCCTCCAAAAAATTATATGCAAATAAGGCACAGAGCAACCTCATCAGCACTAATCATATGGGACTGGCTGAGAGAGGGGGCAACTGGGCAAAATGTATGGGGCCCTGGTTGGTGAGGTTTGCCAGACATTTAAGGTTGGTGAAGAAACAGGAATCATTGGAAATGGGAAAGAAAGGTGCAGCTCAGCTGTGGGAGTGAAGAGGAAGTCGAAATGTATGCAACACAGTGGCTCACCATGACATTTAAAAAGAGTCAGTGCTGAGTGCAACTGCACTTAATGGGCACTACCTCACATTTTATTCAGATGTTGCATTTACCCAGTGGTCGCCAACTGGTCAATCTCGATCAACTGGTCAATCGTGGCGCTTCTGACAGTCTATCTCAGTCTGTCAGAGGCTCCACGATCAGGGGCAGCAGAATGCACATGGCTGGGCTGAGCAATGCCTCCTGCCGGCCGGGCTGGGTGAACGGGGTCAGAGCCCAGGCAGCTCGTCTGAGAGGCAGGAAGTGGGGTGGAGCAGAGGGGGACAACACAGTAGATCCTGGGGTGCCAAAATGTGATCTTCACCATAAAAAGGTTGGAAACTGCTGTACTAACTAATCTTTCTGGGGAAGAGGGGTCTGGCATAGACTTGTTCAGGACTCAACTGAACAAGTTGCCCTCTAAGGAGGGCAGTGGGTCGGGGTACAGGGATGGAGATGGGTGTGCGGTTGCACGGTGCAAACTGTGTTACGGGTTTTTAGTGTGCTTTGAGCTGCCAAGTGAACCACAAGGGCCACTTGTCAGAGTGCTGGAGGTGGAGTTACATACATAATTTGTTTATTTACACACACACACACACACACACACATATACACACACATATCTACACACACACACACACACACACACACACACACACACACACACACATTTTTGCAAAAAAAAAGTGGACACACACACACACATACACACACACACACACACACACACACACACACACACACACACACACATTTTTGCAAAAAAAAAGTGGCAGGTTTCCATTAGTAAGTTTGCCCACTATGGGCCACGCTTTTTATAGCTGCATTTAGTCAACATCATAGTTGGTTTCCATTACGGACCACAAGCTGCTTTGAGCAGCAGTTCAGAAACAGGCAATGTATTTATTGTGGTTTCCTTGTATGTAAGACATGGGGCTGTTTTCCCCATGCTGACTGGGGTTGGGAGGGGAAATCTCATCTTGTACTCCAGTAAATACTGTAACATTTTAACTCCTATTAAATCCTCATACAAACCCCCCAAAAAAGAGGGTTTCAATTCTAAGGATGTTTTTGGCATTTCCTACCACAAAGACAAAAGCAACATTGCCACATACTGTAGTTAAAAAGACTGAATTTACAGGCTACATATTTGTGAGCTGAAGCTTGTATCAAGACCCTCACATGAAGGTGTTGAGCCAATGAAAAATGACAAGCCAAGCCCAGAAGGATGTACATGTCTTCCCAACTTCAATGAGAGTATAAACAACATACTAACAACTTATTTTGTTAAGCACCAGATTGTGTAGTCTATGTATTTCTGGCAAGGAGATACAGGCTAATCTTGGTAAAACAAACAGCAAAGTTGAGCTTGAATTTACCATTCTTAATAATTAATTGGCCCATCTTTAGACTTGTCCTTTAATGGCTTCTTTGAGTAATTTATTTAAACACATACTTCATTTTCATAGCACTGAATTAAGATCACTTCTCTTTGCCCATTTACAAACTGTATACTTATCCATAATACAGTAAGACAGGACTCGCCATTGATTTGAATAATGTACTTTGGTCTTATCTTACTTAGGGCGTAGCTACATGACATATTTACTATATAGCAAATTGGCCTTACGTGCACTAAGTGCAGAGACCATAAAAAACGCAGCCTTACTACGAAGCAAGTCACTCAAGTCAAGGGTAAAGTTATCCCTTGAAAAATGTATAACACAATGGTTCTCTATTTCATCAGATTCAAGGCACCCATCATTAGACTTGAGGCACCCCTCATAAAATGCCACAAGCTTTCACTTGTTTTTTGCCTACCGAAAAAATGTTTCTATTGCAAAGAACTCAGAAAGACCAAAAGAGCAAGAATGTTTTTTTGATGCTATTGACTCCTATTCTGAAATAGCTGGATTTATCTTGTGAATCATGTAGGTGTTGAACACCTAATAATGGTAGTCTTGCAGAGAGGGGTAGTTAGCCATTTTGGTCTGAAATCAGGAAGGCGGCAAGGTAGAGATGCACCTTAGAGTCTAACTGAATCAGAAGTATAGACGCTTTTGTGAGTCTGAGCTCACTTCACCTTAGGGAAGCAAAGTGCTGGGAGAGGTCTCTCCCCTCTCCCTCCTGTCTTCTGCATTCAGATTACTCTAACACTGCTCTGTGCAAGTCTTTCACAGCATCCGATGAAGCGATCTCAGACCCATAGTGGCATGTCCGCAACCTCGGAGAAGAATATTCCCTATGGTGTAATCACCGATACAAGCTCTCACCCAAGAGGTATACGGAGAAAACTAATGGAAGGAACCACGTTGTTTCCTGGTTGCTTTAGTTTTACTTCTGTTATTCTTTTATTTTCAAGCCCTTAAAAAAAAGTAATAATTAATTACTGTGATTAATCTGCTTGCATTTAAATAATCGTGGGCTCAATGGCATGGCAAGGACCCGAGACAAATAAATACACCTCTGAACTGACATTAAGAATCACAATCAGGATTAACTGGCCCCCCACCCCCGCTCCCATTTGTTTCTCTAGACTTTACAATTTTTGTACTAACAGTTGGAACTGAACACCTTTACATTTCCTTTTCTATGCTACATTTGCAAAGCTTCAAAGTATGAAACAAAGTATGAAATTAAATATAGTATCAAAATGCATCTTTAAAAAAAAAAAAAAAATGATTTAGACATTTGCACGGCATTCAGCATCACTGGACCCAAGCACCCTATGAAGGTGTGGCAGTGCTTCACTCACATATGCAAAAATTATTCATATGTCCAAACGCTACAGGATCAGGGCCTTAGCATGCACACGTGTATACGAGAGGTCTGCCAGGAAGCAGCAACGAATGACTTCGACATGAAGCCTGAACTCAGAGGCACAGCATCAGCCATCCGGAAAGGAGGTTTAGCAGCCACAGAAGGTGTTTTGTGACGCTGCCCACTGGCATGTACAAGATGTTCCACTGCCACCAGGGTAAAGACAAGAGATGAGCGATCCATTAAGCTGTTTGTGTCTCTGTTATTAATTCCTTCCTCTCCCCTGTTATTTCTTCTACCCTCTTTAAAAGTCTGAAAGCATTTGCCCCCACTCCCCTCCCCGTGTTGTCCTTTTCAGTTGGGTTTCCATTGATCTCTATCTGTATACTTTGTATGTCAGTGGAATGAAACATCCTGTGCCCTTGCGAAGGATCGATCAGCAGCATATTAAGGTGAGACACGTTTCTGGCCGGACCAGATACAAGCCAAGCATGAATACTTTTTCTCATACCACAAGAGCAAGCTCTGGAGCCCATTGGATGGCAGAGAAACAGTAGAAGCAATTGAAAAGCATCAGTGATTTCTCTCCCCCGCCCCTTAAATCAATGTTCTCGACTTCCCACAACCAGCAATATTATGCTCGGTGGGAACATCTGTGCCGGAGAGAACATCAGCTTCATAACTAGATGCAGTGCTCTCCAATGAACGGCAACAGAGTACAGGAAATTGGAGCAAGCAGAGCTCAAGCTTCACTTCTAGTCTATGCAAGTTAACAGTGCACACAGGTGGAAGAGAAAGACAATTACCAGCAGATGGGCATCAACGTATTTGCAGCTTCTGCACACAGCTCAGAGTGATTCTACTCAGAGAAGTGACTGCATCACAACTCAGCCTATCTACTCCCCCACCATAGCCACTCACATCTGTTGACTTCTTTCCAACCAGGATTTTTACTCTGCAGGGCCGAAAAGAATTAAAAAAGCCAAACCAGTCGGATTAGGCGAACTGCAGCTCCTATTCTATGCTGTCCACTAATAAAATTATTGGTGCAAAGATGGGAGTAATCCAGCTCGCTGTGTCCCAAGCGTAAGTTTGCAGGGCAGGCTATCAGAACATCATGCTACCGGTAAACTCAACACAGCCAGTTTGGATATAAATGCATCTGTTCTAAGTGTATAATACCATGTTAGGCCCAGTGTGATCCCTATTTCTTATGCTGCAACACACTCCAGTTAACCTACATATCCCTTAAATGTAGGAACCACTTCAGCACATTGCATCTTTCAGCCCAACTGCCTGCTATGTAACTTAATTGCACTTCAGATAGGGGCATGGTAGCTGGAACTGCATCCGCCTGCTTTGTAACTCGCTGTAGTCCTTTTAACTGTGCCAGAAACAGCCTAGGGGAAGGATCTGTCAAAGAGCAGCTATTGGAAGCCTTGAAAATGATTGCAGCTAGTCAGCTTCAGGGCTGCTGGTACCACGCCACCGAGAGCACTGTAAATCAACAGTCCTTCAGTGCACTGCACTGTCCCTGCTGTAATATGAGAAGCCACCACACTGACTAATTAGAAGATATTAAAATGAAGCTATGAAAAGCTGCTAATACTACAGCACCGATAGAGCTGCAGCCTTAAGAGTAATGATTGCTTACATGAAGTCTGGATAAGTGCATACTTTACATAAGTGCATATCCTTTTTGCAGTCCCAAAATGATGCCCTTCAGTACATCACACTGTATCTGATGCAGAAAATCACTTGACGACAATAAACAGGGAAGCTTATAAATGTCCCTTTTTCTACTGGATGGGATCACCTTCACTTCTTGTCCTAATCTATTGTGTTGCTACACTTTATATAACAGATGGCTGAACTGAAGCCTACACGTAAAGCACTTAACATTTCTTTGGAGACAGAAACGGTGTTTTAGAAACATTATTATAACAATAAATGCGACCAAAAAATCACGACAGCTGCAAAATGCCAGCTTATTCAAACAAAAGTACATATCCATCTCAAGTTAACAGAGGCAAAATTCGTTAAATAAGAGAGAGACAAACATGACAGATATTTATATTTTTCATTACCCAGAACTCCTGAAGCTGCACTATCCAGAGTCCCACCGTGTCCAATCTTCAAGATTGGTTTCTTCCTTTTTCTTACAACCTCTTGTACACCAGCTTCTGCACAAATAAATTGACAGGGGGCATTACAAGACAACCTCGGCACATGGCAGCAGGCAAAGTATCTGGTATTTATGTTAAAAGGTACCAAAAAGACAGAACAAATTTAGCAGAAAGGATTTTCCCTTCTTCCCCAATTAAACGATGAATTGAGACCATAGGAACTGCTCCTCTTAAAAAAAAAAATCGCCACTGGTTCATCTACAGCAATTTTCACCGCATGCCATTTCAGTATCAGGCAATAATAATAAATCATCTCCTGCGCCATCAGAAACAGATTTGCCATGAAAGGTTCAAAGAACACCACTGTGGGCAATTTACCTGGTGTGTTTCATTAATGAAACATGGAGCCTCATCATTAGTAGATCCCCACCAGAGCGATCATCTATCACACACAATGGTGTGCAATCACTGCCTCTCTATGGTAACACAGTACAAATAGTCTTGCCATATTTAATTGCACAACATGGGAGAAATGTTGCACGCTGCATGTTTTCCACGGGGCTGCGGGCAAGCGAGCAGAACCTGCGCGCTGTGGTGTATCTGCTTTCGTGGTATCACACACAAACAGTATCATATTGGGATATTTTTAAGTACAGGTTAGGTGTGTCTACATGTCACCATACGACGATGTTGCTACAGCGCCAAGCTTTAGTACTTCCTTTGGGTGGTTACTGCACCGTGTGCACTGTGCACGGTTAGATTTTGCTGCTAGCGGCGCACTATGCCCAGGGAGCGCACCGCTACAGTGACGTAGCGCACTGTATGGGGACATAGTGCCTCACTATGTCACTGTAGGGCGACATGTAGATGCGCCCGTTAGACACGCGCATCTACCTGGGACGGTTTGGGCAGGCACGATCCTGCTTAGAGCGGGGGGCAGAACGGATGACCTCGAGGTCCCTTCCAGCTGTATTTGTTTGATTGTCCAAATGTGACTGGCCTTTTAATCCGATCTAGGAATTCCTCAGCCCAGGTCACTCTTTGAAGGGCTCATTCAACACACTGAAGGGCACTGGGAACTTAAAAGCTAGTAAATAATATGGTTATGAAGGCTCCACGCGCCCTCAAGTCTCTGCACCTAGATCTGTAGGTTTACCATGACACTTTATTATTTCAACTGCTTCACTTTCTCCCTACTGCTGGTAGCAGCTTCCCAGTGCTTCAAAGACCCACGCAAGCAACAGAAACAGCAATGATTTAGAAAGCGACTGTTATTATGATTTTACACAGATCCCAATCCAGCACTGAGCTATCACAGGGAGATGGAGCCTAGCTGTGTGGAGCCCCCCTCCACAGGTCACCCCACAGGTCGGGGATCCACTATCCAGTTTTCAGATCAGGACCGGGACCTTGAAAGCCAAACGAGCCTACAATCAGCGCATGAGGATCACGGTTCCACCATGCCACGGATGTGCAGACATGGTCCTCACCGTAAGGGGGTTGCAATCTTAATTTCTTGTGCAGAAGGGGAGGTGGCACAGAGCCCCATGGAAGTGATAAGCTTACTCAGGCAGGCCCCAAACCTGCAGGCTGGTCCAGGTCTGCCCCAAACCTGCAGTTGCTCCCAACACTGGAGCCGGGCTTCAGTGGGCTTCCCTCCATGGACCGAAACCAGACTGCTAGACCGGGACCTGCAAGCAACCTGAAAAACTAGAGAACAGTACCTTTTGCTGACCTGCTCTTTGTCAACAACGGGCCCAATGTACATGGGCCGAGGAAATGGAGGGGTGGTGAGGGCAGCAGAGTGACTGCTCGGGTCCTGCCCGTGTTTGTGGGGGACGCCAGCGCAAGCCTGCCGGGCAGGTTTCCCAGCTGCATGAGGAGGCCAGACAAAAAGTACCCCCACTCTTACGACATTTGTGCAAGCAGACACTGGAGAGAAGGAAACTCCATCTGGGATTTAATTTTAAGGAATTTCCCCCCAGAGCTGGAAGTGTCTGGGCAGACATTTACTCTGCCTCAGCCCTCATCCGCGTGCCCCTCTGCAGCCCCTTGACCCTGGACCAGATTTTCTAACCGGCCATTCCCCATCCCTGTGCAAATCAGGGGTCTGACCTGCGCCGTGGGCCAGGCATCTGCCTGCACGGGCGCAGTTTCAGATGGGTTAGCAATCTGCCAGCATGGAGGGTGGGAAAGACGCATGCTGCTGCAGAGCCGGGGGGGGCAAACACCTGCACGCCCAAACCCCTCCCTGGTGCTTGGGACAAGGGTCCCACCACCGCCGCTCCGGCAGCCCGCTCTGCACGCAGGCATCCAGAGAGCAGCTCCAGAGCCAAGCTGGGCACGGCCTCAACGCGCGCTGCAGGTCCTTTGCATGGTGGCAAACCTCCCCGCCCGAGACCTGCCTCTTCTCCCCAAACCACCCCCCATCCCAGCCTGGATCTCCACCCCTGCCCCTGCCCTGCTGTACCTGCCAGCAGCTTTGCCTTCAGCTGGTTGAGCAGATCAGCTGAGGTAGGCCCCTTGGGCTTATACACAGCAAACAGCCCGCTCAGCGAGAAGAGCTTGTCTGCTGCCGGGCTGGCCATCAAGGCCCCCAGCTCCTCGCACACCTTGCTGGCCATGCTGCCAGCACAGAGCCCAGGCCAGCAGCTCTGCCCCTGCTTCCCCCCACGTGGGTGCAGCTCCCAGGCAGCCAGCAGCTAGAGGGCAAGGAAGAGGCAGACTCCTTCCTCCTCCCAGGCATCCTGGGAGATGTAGTCCCTGCCCTGCCTGCTGCAGCATGCTGACCTGCAAGGGCTCTTGGGACTGGTAGTTTTCTGGGGGCTGCAGCTGGAGATGCTGCCTGCGTGGTGCAGGGAGCGTATCATTTTGCCTGGACCCTTTTCTGGTTGCAGACAGCCCCGCCCCGAAACTAGAGCAAAGGCTCGGTGCGCCCTAATGCTCCTCTAGCATCTCTCTAGCTGGTCCAAAAGAGATCTTCCTGCCACGGGTCAGATGGGTTAGCTCCTGCGGGAGGAGATGCAAGTTCATGAATCCAGAGCAAGGGGAGCTGGCGTGGCAGTGGCTCGGCACGGGGTAGCCCAGCCGGCGGATGCTGCAGGGGAGGGATAGACAATACTGTGGCAGCCCCAGTACAGTATTGGCAACCCCACCGTGTCCAAAATCATGACACAAACTCTTAAAAAATCAAAGGATTTGAAATGTAAATCATGAGATGCTATTTTTGAAGTGTGTGTGTGTGGGAGCGGGGGCTATTCGTGAAGTTGTGAGGGGCTGGAGCCCAGGGAAGGGGAGTCCCTGCACCCCCTGGCAAGATGTGACATGCTATGGTGAGACACACACACACACACACACACACACCTCTGTTGCAGAACTCACCCCGACCCCGGGGCCCCATTCACCCCAGGCCCTGCTCCAGTCCCTCCCTCACCGTGGGTGGCCTTGATCTGCCCCTGCCCACCCCTTCCCTCTCCTCCTGCCCCTTCCCCTCCATAGACTTACCAGTTTGGTACTCTCTACACATGCCAGGAGAAAAAAATCCTGAGATTTGATCTCTCTATCAAGAGATCATGAGTCAGAGCTAATTTGACTTGGAAATCAGGAGTCTCGTGATTTTTTTGTGAGAGTTGGCATTACTACCAATGTAAGGCTACATGCCAGGGTCATCAACTGGAGAGAAGTGGTCCATTCTCCTACGGGCCCACTGCAGGGTTCCCAAGGCTCTAAAAGAGCTAAATTTGTATCCACGGATGGGATTAAATCCAAATCTGCAATCTACATCAGTATTGGGACCCTACATCCCAAACCCCAGGCCCAAGGTTCAGCAATGCAGATTTGCCTGGGATGAGCAGATTTGCATATGAAAAGCCTGCAGAGGGAAGGGGTTTGCAAGGAGTTGCAAGGGTTGGCAGGGTGGCTGAGCAGGGAACTGGAAGGCAGGAAGGCCTTCCCTTGCTTTGCTACCTTCCCTGACCATCCCTATCACACACTGTTTGCCTTTACTCCCAAGTCAGGGGATCCCAGGAAACTATTTATATTCAGTGACACAACATGTATATTTTCCCCATAAGTTGGAACCGGTGAGAGCTGATAGCAGAATGGAGGTGACTGCTTTTTTTATTATTATTATTTCTGCTTTGTTTTAAATGCACAAACATTTTTGTAATGCTATTGATTTAGAAACATGGCCCTGGTTCTCATCCCAGTTGCATGGGTATAAATCAGGATTAACATCACAGAAGTCAGTGGACTCTCACCTGGGGCAAAGAACTGGCTCTCTTACTTTTGTAGTCAAATGCATCATTCAGCTGATATCAATGAAAGTCAGATCAGGCTCCTAAGTACATTAGCCAGCAGTAAAAACAGTCCTAGAGCCAGATGCTACAAGTCAGTAAGTCTAATTATTGCAGGTGAATTCAGACCAGAAATCAGCTGCACATTGTTTAATAATGAGGGTGATCCATCATTCAAACAACTTAGCTAGAGAGGTGGTAGATACTCTGTCTCTTGATGTTGTTCAGTCAAGACTACACGTCTTTCCAGGAGCTATAGTTCAGGGGTAGTCAACCGCATGCATGTCACGTGTGCCATGAGTGGCACGGGCAGCCTCTGTGTGTGGCATGTGGCAGATCAGAGAGGGAGCAGAGGGAACAGCAGCAGATAAGGCAGGGAGCAAAAAGTAGAGCAGCAGATTGGGCAGGGGAAGGGGTTTGAAGTGGCACTCGGGGAGGATGCAGATTTTAGCTCGTGGCATGCCTGCCAGAAAGAATGGCCCCCACTGCTATAGAAATAAGGATTTACCAGCATCTACCAAAAATAAGCATTTAATGCAAACATTGCAGAGTGAAATTTTATGTCTTATGTCATAAAAAAGGGTAAACTGGATGACTGAACAGGCCCCCTGGCCTTTTCCTTTAGAAATGTGTGCTTAACTCTAAGCATAGATAAGTATCTGCAGGCCCTTAGTGCAGGATGAGGACATATATCTATTTTGGTAGGTACTTGGCCTATGGTAGATGAACGGATTCAGCTCCATGCTGACGGGTGCAAAATGAGCCCAGACATTCTGAATCCTGCCCCCTGGACCCTCCTTTTACATCCTGTTATTAAAAAGGGCCAGATCCTGTACCAGTATTTCCACTGCCCATAACGAGTGTTGCTCCCATTACCTTTAAGAAGAGCAGGGAGAGAGTTCAGCACCACACAAGTGAGTAACTTGTGTTAGCAAAATCCTCTATGGTTGTTCCACACGGGTGGATCATTTTTATCTTCTTACCTGTAAGAAATGAATGTTAGTACAATGCCTTGAAAATTCTTAGTGCCTTATAGGAAGATTTTAGTTATACAAGTTATTTGCTCGGTGCTCATTTACATAGCTGTAACCTGACCATAAAAAATATTTGCTGCTTCCTTCTGCTGCAAGGGTGAAGCCCCTAATGACTGGTACATCCGCCTGTCATTGTTGGTGCGTGCAAGGGAGGTGGCAGGATCTTCCCCTGGAAGAAATGGACAGACCTGGAGTCACTGAAGGGATTCTGCTGTTGATTTCGATGGATTTGCCCCAAAGAATGGAAAATGAGGCCTGTAAGTGCAGCAGTCAAGAGAAGTCCCCTTTACACATGTAGTTCAACTGTATTAACCTAAACATTGAAAACACAGTCCCATAGTTTGCACACAAATGGCCCTGCCAGAACAGCTCAGACAAAACTATTTAAAAATACATGTTAAGATATTGTGAAAAAGATGCCAAGCGAAGGAGCGCAATGGGAGCCACTCATGCGATGCTGCCTAACAGTCTCATCAGGTCAGCAGGCTGTCTTGACAGCAGTTTCTAAGACTCAGAAAGATCAGCGAGACAGACTACACAGACGTGTGCACACCATCGACCGCATAACAACATCATAGCATGCAAACACCTTGGCTATTCAGTACTCCTGTAACAGCCAGGAACTGTGCATCCCTTCCTTCCAGAACTGAGATGCTGCTTTGTAAGAGCTGATTTAATCAGAAAGGTGTTGCGAATGATTTTGCTGATTTAGCTAACCCAAAACTATGCATAGTCTGCTTCTGAACTTTAGCACTGCTCCAGCAAGCTGGGAGAAGCGTATTTGGCTGCGTTTGTTCTTAGTTAAGGGCAGAATTTTTGAGCAACCTAAGGGAGTCATGAATTTAAATTGTGACCAAGTGTCTTCTTTACACAAATATTGCATTTGTTCTCCCTAATTACACGAAGTCAGCGGGAAAGTCAATGAAAATTGAGCACCTAATTCTTATAGGCCCCCTCAGATATCTGCCTGGCTAATTAAAAAAAAAAAAAAGCTATTTTATTCATAGAGGACCTGACTCTTTCAAGAGTAAGAAGGCTGGCTTTGTCTTTAGTGCGTGTAGATCAGGGCCTAAAAGCAAAATATGTGTAAAACTCCCAACAGCTGTGCATGTTACAGGTGGACAGAGAGCACTATGTATGCTTATAAATCAGTTCAGACTGGTCTTTGCATGGGGCAGTGCTATTTAGGACTCAGGGATTTAGCAATGGGAATAAGGTACTTAGCCATTCATCTCAAGGTCACTAGTTCCCATTAATCTCATGTCGGTAGTGACTAAAAGTCATTACCACGTGATTAGTAGCCTATTTGAAATGAGAAGCGTGGTTCAAAGTCAAGAGGTGCCCATGTCACACAAAGCCCCACCACAACTGGTTACTACTGGCAACCTTGGGAGAAAGCAGCGCTCGCTGGTGAGCGAGGTCTTGTAGTTTTAGACAAAGACAAGCTAGACCGTCAGCTGAAGTCAAGGGCATTATGCCAAATTACATCTGCTCAGTTATAATTCACAAGCAAGGGGGGAATTTGTTTTCATTACTTCGTTTGCTGAGAGACTGAGCAGTGCCTCCGAAAAAGAAAATTCCATTATTGACTAAGACGGTCCTATTTATAACTCGCTGCTCCCCCCAGGACACGGATGGAGCAGAACAGAGAATGACATTTATTCAGGCAGGTGAAGATGGCTACAACGCCGGCTGCTTTCAGAGTGTGGCCTTTCCTAAAATCTTGCTAATAGGCTATAGCTGGAGAAGAAAATGGTATTGGTCTTTACCTTTTTACATGATAATGGACACCTGTGACTGTATTAATGTTCGGTGACTCATTTTATGGCTTCTGCTTTGTTTTCTGTGTCCACATAAGACTGAATAATGGCAGGGAGAAAAATGATGGTTCATGTTCTTCCTGTAAAGGATAAAGGTCTGATGTAGGTGGTATGACACTTTAGGACCAAATTCTGCAAATCGCTGCTTTGTACATTGATGGGGGAACAGCTTGCAGGAATGGGGCCTTAATTAATAACTACTCCAGCCCTGACTACAGAGTAGAAGGAAGACTAACTTTTTCTTGTTATCCAAACAGATAAAATATTTGAAGAAATGATAAAAAGTTGCTCAATATGTTAGCTAATCTCGCCCCTGATTCAGCTAGGTATTCAAGTATGTGCCTAACCTTAAACAAAAGTTACTCCACTGGAGACAAGTATGCATTTTAAAGTATTTTGTTGACGGAGCATTTATGTGAAAATATAAATTGCTATTGGAAATATAAAAATAGTTTCATAGTAGCTAGGGTTAGGAGGGACCTGAACAGATCATCTAGCCTGACCCCCAATAGTTTAACCTACTGTTTAACACAGCCTGTATTATTAT